GCAACAATGACGGCAACGGCTACGAAAACGTCATTTAAAAAGCGAATTCGTGCTTTATCGTGCTTAATCCTTCTCGTTTAATTTGTCATATGTGGGAGTTGAATTCTGACGGACTGTATCAAAGTTCAGGAAAAGAAACAGAAAGTTGTCTTGTAGCATTTTAACGTTGTAGTCGTGCAACGACGGCTAAGAAATGTACAAAAAAGCATGATGCACGTGTAAAGTTGTTGTTTTGCTAATCTAACCTGTTGCCTTTTTGCCGTTCCCGTTGCCGTCACCGTCGTCGTTGCTTAAGCGCCCCAATAAGGAAAGCAGCCACACCACAGAAGTTTGACTAAACTGGACTCTGGACTCTTGCTAGTTATGAACTCTCGCTATCAGAAACTTACGGACATTGTTCTGGTCCTGCCAGTGCGCTTTCACTGTGCTAACTCTCAGTTGCAACGGACGTCGACCGCAGCTTTCCGCAGTCAGATCCAATAAGGTTCTGATGTTTTAAGGATGAAATTATTCTTTCAGACTTAAAAACTCAATGATCCACTGTTCTCTGCGGAAGACACAACGGTTCCTCTGTTCTTTAAATTTTATTTCAAGATGTACAGTTAAACCCCCATTAAGCGGCCACCCTCGGGGTACCTGCAAGTGGCTGCTTATTGGAGGTTGGCCGCTCAATAGAGGTTCGTCATTAATCAGCATAATCTTTAGCAGAGACACAACTTTATTTTGAAACAAAAGCGTGACGGAAGAAGCATTAACAATCAGTTGGCACCTTCTATCTCGAACCATATTGACTATTTTCTAATCCCCCATAATACACTCTCGCGAATACTTTTTGTGTATTTCGCACGCCCCCCCCCCCAATAAGTTTTCTAATGGTCCATCCCTAAGATGGGGTCTATAATATAGCCACAGAATAGACTATAATGGTTTAGGGGTTCTGAGAGGCCACTAGTGTGCAATTTGTGTTATGATTTTAAATTATTTGGATAAAGTCGATGTACATAGGACTGTATAAGACTCCAAATAAAGGATTGTCTTGTCTTGTCTATACCCAGCAAAAATTAACCAACTAGCCCCCGCCCCAGAGTAGAGTATGTCTAAATGTCGCGGGTCGCGACTCGCGGGTAGAGGTCGCGGGTGCGGGTAAAGGTCGCGGGTGCGGGTAAGTGTCACGGGTAAAAATAAATCACCAAATTTAACCAAAAGATAAAATAAACAACAAAACAAAAATTTCTTTTTTTAACTTTTCTAACGAAGACTAGTCAGCAGCGCAAAGGAAGACTTCTTGTAGTTGTAAGCTTTTTCGTTTATTTCAGACACGTTTCGTCTCTTACTGAGACTTCTTCAGGGAACGAATACAACTAATAAAGAACTGCATATAAAACACGTTTTCTGCGTAAGTAAAAATTCCGATGGAAGTGAATAATAACTTAACTATGCTGTAAACGGACGTTATAAGAAACATCTTATACATAGGTATGTTATTGCGTGTTGTCATATTTGGGGGGCCATGCAATCAGCGCTAATCGTATGGCCCCCAAAAACGCAGCGGAACTATCGACTCCATCAGGATAAAGAATCGATCGATCGAAGTAAACCTTGAAATATTCTTTCTTTTTGTCACTCTGTGAAATCAGAACTGTGAATGAGAGTTTTACCCGCGTGCACGGGTACTGTTGCCGTGATCAAGCCGCCAGTAACGTGGGAAAATTCAATTTACCAGGACGGCAATTTCTTTCGTGCGGCCGCGCCACAATTGAGTACGAAGGACGAATGACAACTACCGATTCATACTTTTTGCTGAGGAAGTAAGTACACGCAAGTCTTATAAAAAAATCAAAGCTGTATTTTCGATGAACCAGATTATGCCTTCAAATATATACATAGAAAGGTGGGAATTCTTGACTAAATTTTGATTTTTCCATTACTCGAAAATGAAGAGAGAAATGTACTAGGCATGGAGGAAACATTATTTAAGGCTGATCACTCGCAACATGGTAATTATCAAAAACAAATAGGCAGATTACGCATTTATGCCCTAAAATAATTTTATTTGTCTTGGGTTGCACACATTTTTAATTTGGCAAAAGTATCATGCCAGGAGGTCTTCAATTTAATTCAGAAAATACCGAGTAATAAAGCCAGTGGTCTTGATAACATCTCAGCACGTCTCCTGAAAGAAGCGTCTCCCATAGTTACTCGCAGTCTAACTTTTATAATAAATCAGTCAATTAACACTGGAATATTTCCAAATGCTTGGAAACGAGCTAGAGTTTCGCCAATATTTAAAGAAGACCTCAGGACTGATCCTAACAACTACAGACCTATCTCAGTTCTGCCTGTAGTAAGTAAATTAATTGAAAGAGTTGTTTTTAATCAATTATATGAATATTTAAATAATAATAACTTGTTAACTGAATCACAATCTGGCTTCAGACCTATGTTTTCCACTGAAACAGCTTTACTTGAGGCTACGAATGAATGGCTATGGAATATTGAC